AACCTCTCAGCTCCCTGTAGCACCCCCGCGTGCCACGGTACCCCCCCCTCCACCTTCGCCGCCTCGTCCCAGTCTGGCTTCGGGATTCCGAAGAAATGTGTGCAAAACAATAATAAGCATTTTTTGCCATTGATTGGTTGAGGCAGTACATACACACCAGCCCGCCAACATATCTATGTGACCGAGGGGGTACCCCCGATCGTAGCATCCCTCGTCCAAGATAGATTAGCAATGAATCCATAGCGTGAGCGAAAGGTTACCTGTATGTCTACGGTTTCCCAGACAGCATACAACGATAGCTCCCCTGTGGGTAACAGGCTCAACAAGGCAGTTTTTTGCCTTTTGCATATGGGGGAGTCGTGCAAAGGGAGAAAAATCTCCGAAATCTCCGATTGTCTTGTTCCGCATGATGGTCACTATGTCAAGATCCTCAACTCCTCCAACAAGCAAGTTCGAAGACCACTGCTTTCCCCCAGCCGTAGTCTGCGTGTTGTCAAGGTTGTTGTTGTTGTTGTTGTTGTTGTCTTCACATTAAAAACCATCCCGGTCTCTCTATCCAGTACCTCCTTCTGTCTCAATCTCTCCGTACTAATCCAGCACTTGACTCGGTCAATTTCCGTGGTCACAGGCTAACGTACCTAGAAAAGGTATACCAAAATAAAATGGACCCCAAGGGTCTGGCCTCTTTTTCTTTTTCGTGTGGGTCCGCTGGTGTATGTTGCTGTCCCGGAGATAGATGAATATCAACCCCGGCAATTAATTGCGCTTTGCCGACGTCCCTGTTTGCCCGCAGGGCACACGGAAAAGACAAAGACACGAAGACCAACCGTGAACAAGACGTTCGTGACCTACTCTGTACCTCAGGTTCCGGCTGAACGACGGACTAACCTGCGTGGACAAGATCTGGCAACCTGGCGAAGTGAACGGCTCCCTGAGGCTTCAACTTCATATCAAGGCGAGATACAGAACAACAAGGCAGCAGCCAAAAACACTCAGTCAGCCCAACACACTACCGGTCGCCCCGGTGGTCTAGTGGGTAGCCTCGTAGCCTACTAAGGGCCAGGTCATGTGTTCGAGTCCCGAAAGAGTGAGTTTTTTCTCGCTAGTTATATCCTGGTCTCCGTTGGAAGCGACGCGCTGCAAAGTTCGTTGTTAGTAAACTTGACCGACTTCATAAGTCGCGAAGGGAGGAAGATTTATGTACCCTTCTCGCGATAAAAATATGTCAGGCAGGAACCGCAGGAGGGGGTCCAAGCCCCCCCTCNTGTTCGAGTCCCGAAAGAGTGAGTTTTTTCTCGCTAGTTATATCCTGGTCTCCGTTGGAAGCGACGCGCTGCAAAGTTCGTTGTTAGTAAACTTGACCGACTTCATAAGTCGCGAAGGGAGGAAGATTTATGTACCCTTCTCGCGATAAAAATATGTCAGGCAGGAACCGCAGGAGGGGGTCCAAGCCCCCCCTCCTGTGTGACCTCGGTTGGGTCGTCTAGCTGGTAGGGGCCATAGGGGTAGACGACAGAGTCCAATGATGGGAGATAAACAAAACAACAAAAAAACTACACAGATCTACAGCAGTTAAGTTCTAGAGTACTCGGATGTAAGGTATGTACCAGTCTGTATCTAGGTATTAATCAAAAGAAATTTTCTGAAATATACACCCTATACTTTTAGGGATTTGTTTACCATTATTACTTTTGGGGACGCAATTTTTTCAGTTTTGTGGACGCCAAAAAATGTAAGCAAAATTAGAGAAACAAAATAAACGAATTTATAAACACACACACATATATACAATCTGTATTTCGGGGTATGTAAATTTCAGTTCTGGGGACGCAATATATCTTGCCATAAAAGAGAAACTTGTTTGTTGCGGGACCACAGCAGTACTACTATTACTGGAAAAAAAGCAGTCAGAGAAAGAAAAGAGGGGCGTTCGTGGCAGAGAAGCATGCATGCATGTGTCACATGCGACCGTGTAGCAGTAACCTGTTGAGTTGTGAGTCAGTGCCTCCCGACAGCAGCTCGGCCGGTTACTATTTAGGCTTCGCCTGCAGTTTGAAGTAAATCCAGACGATTTTTGTTGCGCAGTTGAATCTTAAGCCCCGATCGCTGGTCGGGTTGCTTGGGCTTCGTTCCTGCCAGATGTAACTTCCAAACACCAAGCCCGGATTTGGGTAGACCCTGTTTCATCGCGACAGTGGGACGGTTCAATTGGTTGTAGAGATCGGTGAGGGAGTGCTTTTCTAATATGGGTAGGCGGTGACAGACAGGCAGACAGACAGCGCTCGCCCCCTTGTCAATCGTGTCAAGTTTGCGCGCAATACGCATTTTGATACTCAAGCAAACTCCTCCGCCTTCAGCGTGGCTTGGGGCTTGCCTCGGGTGGCGCTGGGGGTGCGGCTCCTGGTAAGGCGTGGGTCAGGCGCCCGACTTCGGGTTCCTGCGTCTTTGTATGATTGGCCTGTGCCTCATGAAAAATGATGCTGGCACGAGTGGCGGTGTGGGTGTCGTGAGGGCCATCCGCCAATGAAACCGTCGGGAGCGTTTTTCGGTAGACAATCAAGAAACCTACAGAGATGCTGATTTATTCAACCACCCGCGGGTGGCGATTAAACTTTCAACCTGCAGGTGCTGGTTATTAGGTGAATAAAATAACCTGGCTGCTGAAACCTGCGGCATGGCTACGCCATTCGAATATCCACCTTCTTTGCTACGTACGGCATTCAATTCCACCTTCGTTCACGATAAATAAATTCCCAGTCGTATCGTACTTCGGAGGCAGGCGTAGACTAGCGGTCCAATTTGAGGGCATGCACTGAGCTGAGCGACTCTCAGGTAGTCGAGAGGCGCATGCGTGTGAAGCAGCAGTGCTAAAATTTGCACTGCTGTGTGTAGTCTCGAAATCACATACTTCTAAATTGGAGTAGGAGTAGTGGTAAGAACCGATCTCGTAGAGACTATTTATTTATTGAAAGCTTGATACATAGAATACGATACTACGCAGGAAGGAAAAGAGCCTTCTAAAGTTCGTTCGTTGCAGATAAGCACGCATGTCCTACCTTAATGTGCAGGTAGCAACCTGCTGGGGTGTGCGCACTGGAGTTTTTCCCCTCAACTGTTCGGGTTGTCTGATTCATGCGGGGGGAAATGCGGACGCCGTTGCACAGCGTGTGACGATGTCGAGCTTCAACTCCAGCGCCAGTCAGTGCCTCCCGACAGCAGCTCGACGGGTTGCTACGCTTCGTCTGCAAGTTTGAAGGAAATCCAGACGAGTTTAATTTTGCCGTTGAATCTAAAGCCCCGAGATGTCGGTTGGGTCGCTTGCTTATGTTCACGCCAGATCTAAGACACACGCCAAATCCGGCTTTGGAAGACCCTGTTACATCGGTGATCTTGGGGCGGTTCAATTGGTCGTAGAGATGAGTGAGGGAGTGCTTTTCTAAAAGGGGTAGGGCAGGGCGGTGACAGACAGCACACCCCGCCCGCCCTTGTCAATCTTGTGTCAAGATTGCGGTCACACGCATTTTGGTACTCAAGCAAGCTCCTCCGCCTTCAGCGTGATGGCTTGGGGCTTTCCTCGGTCGTGTGGCTTTGAGTCACTTTGAGTCATGACTCATGTCTCATGACTCTTGGCCGCGTTCGTTCGTACTGGCTGGGGCTTGTCTCGGTCGCGTTGGAGGTGCGGCTCCTGGTGAGGCGTGGGTTAGGCGCTCGGCTTCGAGTTCCTGCATCTTTGTATGATTGGCCTATGCCTCGTGAAAATGATACAGGCATGAGTGGCGGTGTCGGTATCGTGAGGACCATCCGTCAATGTAACCGCCAGGGACGTTTATCGGTAGATAAGACAATCAGGAACCTGAGGGGGTGTTGATTAGATCAACAGCCTGTAGGTGCTGATCAGAAATCCCGTTCAAGGGTGCACTGGGGGGAAGAGGGAAAGGTTGGACACCGATCACAACCTGTTTGTTCTGTGAAGGTTGGGGTGGGGAGGTTGAGGAGACGGGATTGATCGACCTTGAACGCGTTTCTGGTCTGTGTGTGGCAGC